TTCGAGCTGGGCGCGGGTGACACCGGCCTTCTGGAAGAGCGTCTGCCACTCTGCGGAATGTTGTGACGTCAAAGCCCTTCTCGGGGGACCAGCCAATGTGGCCGACGTGCCGAAAGTCGGACGGGGCGCCAATGTCGGCCTTGGAGAACTTGCCCTTCTTTTTGTCGCGCACCGATCCCTGCGACGACAGCGACGTGGTGCTGCCTTTGCCCGAGAGAGAGTTGAGCGTCACCTGGCCCGAGCCAGCCATGGGTCCAGAGATCGAGACGCTGGCCGAGCCCAAGCCGGGCTGCGGCGACGGGCTGGACGCCGGGCGCGGGGCCGGGTTGCGCGGGGCAACCGTCTTGCGCTTGTTGACCTTGTCGAGCTGGCCCTGGACGGCGTTCTTAAAGTTGGTCGCCTCTGTCTGATCGGCGAAGGCGAGGCCAACCATGCACTTGTCGCCCGCGAACGAGTGGAAGAGCGGGCGGGGGCACTTGTACACGCACTCCGTGTACAGCTCCTGCTGGAAGCGCACCGTGCCTTGCTCAATGTCAATCAGCCGGATAAAGTACGAGCGAGCCGCCTTGTCGCGGACGAACGCCAGTGCGCCGGTAGCAATCTTGGACCAAGAGCGCGGGTTTTGCGCGAGGTGGACTTGCGCGACCGCCGTCACGACAGCCTGATGAAGACAAACGTGTAAAAGTGTCAATGGTTGGTGAGTGTGAGTGTCATTGCAGCATTGAGCTTGAATGAGCGAATGGCAAACAAACAAACAAAAATCACAAAGATCTGGTTTTTTTTTTTTTTTTTTTTTTTTTTTTTTTTTTTTTTTGCGGTTGTTGAAATTGAACGCAATGTTTTTTGAGAGCTTTTTCTTCCGGTTCTCGCTCGTCTTCCTCTGCTCGCAAGTGCACTCTTCGAACAAACGCTCACTAGAAAAACCAGCATATGAGATGGGGAGGCGCAGTGTGGGAAGCAAGAAGGACATGAAGCAGAAAGAAGAAGAAGACGAAGAAGCAAAGAGGAACTTGTCAGCCTTGAGTTCGGCTCGCTGGAAGGGCCAGTGAAGTGACGGAGGCCAAAGGGGGGGGGGGAATGTGCACGAGTGAGTAGGTGAAACGGTGTACCTGGGCACGAGCGCCGAGGACGGTGCGGACTTGTTCCATCTCGTCATCGGAGAGGAGAAGCGACGGAATGTCGGGTTGCTGCGCCTGAGCCATTGTTGACGGAAAAAAAAAAGGAAGAATGGCAGGCATAAAAAAAAAAAAAAAAAAAAAACAACTTAGATCTGGCTTGCAGTTCGATCTGATCACCAGCACGGACGAACTTTTGATCCGTCGTACTGTACTGTATAACACGCACACACTAAACGACACAACAATAGCAAAAACAAAACAAAAAACAGAAACAACACTGGAAGCTTCGATTCGTCGCGTCGTGAAGAGTCTAGCGTCTCCAGTTTCGGAAAGTCTAGCCCGACTTGTACTGTTTGACTGATCACACAATCTTCAAAGAAAGCCAAGAATCTGTTTTGACAAGGGGGGGGGGGTCCCAAAATCAGTGCGAAATCAGTGGGAAGATGATCCGGACACGCACAATCTGCAGGAACTTTTCCGGTCTTTTTGTACGCTGTGACATCACTCAAATCCTGCTTCGTGAACAAGCGCTTGGAGATTGGGTTGATGTTCATCCTCAGTGCTATATGACAGCGGAGAGAAAGAACGCTGCGTGGTTCAAGCCTCGATCCTCGACAAGAAACGCACCGAACAAGTCAAACATTTGCAAGACGAGCGTCAGTGGATGAGCCCGGCCAGCGTGCTGATGAGGTCGAGATCCTCTTGTGCATACCGAGCGTATGCTTCCGGCAGCTTGGTCATATAAGCCTTGAGCTCATCGGGAGTCATGTCAGCGCCAGAGTACGCGACTGAGTGGCGCTGACTGCGAAGCCAAGATGCGACCATGAAGCTGCGGAAAGACCACTTGGTTGTTGTAAAGTACCTCTTCAGTTGCTTGATTTCCTCGTCATCATCGTCCCTGACCGTGTTCGAAACTTCAGCCAGACGGCCGTTCGACAATAAAGCGGGAGAGTAGCGCCCGTAGCGCGAAAAGTTTTCGTCACAGGCATCGAAGGCATTTCGACGAGCAGCACGATCGGGAAACGCTTCTTTCAGAACGTGGTTCACAAGCGTGGACATGGAATCTCCAAGATTGAGGAGAGCTTCCTTGGCCTCGAGCGTCGCGATCCGGGCATCTTGAGCGGCGATCCGGGCATCTTGAGCAGCGAGTTTCTCATCAATTCGCCGAATTCTCGTTGCCAGTTCATCAATTGTTTTGCCCTGCTGATCGACCTTCAGGATCAGATCCTGCAGTAGTTTGGTCACCTCGTCCATGAGTAGAATCTAAGGGCCACAGTCTTGATGAATAACAAAATCGAAGTCGGAAAAGGCTCCCTCTACTTTTTAGCTGACATCATGTTGCGCCAAAAGTTTGCACTGCCCGCACGCCAACTCCACGACACAATGCCGTTTTGATGTGATTATCACATGGAACAATGCCGTTTTGATGTGATTATCACATGAACACACGAGACAGCGTGTTACGGTTAAGACCCCTTGGGTCTAACCCACTCTTGTTATTTTGTATTAAATACGAGAATCCCATCATAACCCATCCATAACCGGCTGTGGGACCTGAGGTGCCAGGGTTTGCTCGTAACACAGCGAAACAAAGAGGCTGACAAAAAACATAAATGAAAAAAATTACAATTAACAATTACACTTACAAATGAAAAATGAACAATCCAGTTTGCAATGAAATTTGAAAGCGATTCGGCCTATGTGGTTTTTTGTGCATCCATTGGCAAAATCACATGCAGTTTATTGTTGCAAGAAAGAGAGGGGAGGGGCTAAAACGACCCCACAGGACAATAACAACAATAACAACAACAACAACAACAACATTCAACCCGACCGATTGACGGGCAGAGTGAGAGACGACGCAAACATGAAGTCAGCAAAACACGAGGGCTAGCAAGGCAAAGCAAACACAAAAACAAAAAAAATCACGCACATCAACCAGACACAGCTACTTGGCAAGTTTTTCAATGGCATGGTTCACGCCTTTGAAATTTGGTCTCTTACTCGCTTGTGCAGCCCAGCAGTCTGAAATGAGCGTCTGCAGCTTGGCTGCGTCGGGGGTGTTGGGAAATGCGAGACGTTGGCCGCTGGAGACAAACTTGATAATTTGATCGCTCGTCTGACCGCGATACGGGAGCTCGCGGGTGACCAGCTCCCAGGCAATAACGCCAAATGAGTAGACGTCAGCCAGTTCCGTGGGCGGTGCGGCTGCGGATGTGGCCGAGAGAAGCTCGGGCGCCATCCACGGCACACTCCGGTTGGGCGCGTTGTCGCGGAGCGCGCGGCGCGTCTCGTAAAACCCGAAATCTGACACCCAAATGTGCATCGTCTTGTCCACCAGGATGTTGGACGACTTGAGGTTGAGATGCAATTTCTTCAGGCGATCGTGCAAGAAGATCATGGCGCGGGCAATGTTTTGCAGAATGGAGCGTTTGTGCTCCCAGGTAATCTCGGGGAAATCGTCATAGTTGGCGAGGAGGCTTGTCAGATTTCCCGGCTGGATGCATTCATACACGAGGGCGTAGTGCTCCGGAGTGAGAGAGACGTTGACAATCGATGCGAGAAGGGGATGGCTGATCTTGATCACTTCTTGGAGTTCTCGCTGAAACACGTCGAGTTCGCCGTCTGTCAAGTCCCGTTTGAGGCGCTTGATGGCGACGAGCCTCTGGTCTGCGGCAGTGGCTGGGGGTGTTGCTGTCGTGACCGAGGTAAACTGGCCTTGTCCGAGAACGCCTCTCAGCACGTACTGCTCCAAGGAGACGCTCGCCGATGCAAGATCTCCCTGCATATCGGTCATCGTATTACGGCGGTTGATTGCGTTGCTTGGAGGAGCAAGCAGCGGGTTTGCGCTCGGATGCGCCTCTCGTGGATCCACACCATTGCCTTCAGGCAGCAGATTTATCTCCGTGTGCGGGACTGCCAACTGAGGAGTCGGATGGCGCGCTCGAGGCGCCGCCGCCTCCTTCTCCTTCACCTTCACGACATGGTTGGCTGGTGGAGTTGGAGTTGGAGTTGGAGCTGCAGCTGCGCTGGGTTGCTGGAAAACACCCTGAACAGTTGGGCGCGAAGGAGCAGCAGGACGCCCAAAGTCGCTGGGGCCGTTGCTGGAGGACCGCACAATACCGGCACCAGGAACAGAAGGAGCGAAATTTCGGCCCAGAGTCATTGGCTTTGGCGGCACGGGCGGTGCAAGGTTGCCGTAAAGCGGCTCGGCGGGTGGCGGAGTGGGACTGACCGAACGTTGCGCGTGGGATGGAACATTCTGATAAACAGTGTCGGTGACCTTCGGAACATGGCGGTCGCGGTGGGCCGGGATGTTGCCGTAGGTGGACTCCTGCACAGAGGTGGAGGACGGGGTTGGGCTCACAGCGCGCTGGACGGGCACCGGACCGGACCCGGGCGGAAGAGTCGGCGAGGAAACCTGGTCGGGTGTGACAACAACAGGACCATAAGAAAAGCCCGGCGAGCTCAGCGCGGCGCTTGGTGGCGGGGTATTGCTGAATTGTTTCTTGACAAAAGACAACATCCGATCCTGTTTTTCGCTCACCGCCGCAAGTTGGTTGCGGTGTTCTTCGGCTTGTCGGGCCGCTTCTTTGCGATGAGCTTCGTCTTTCTCGGCCATTTCTTTGCGATGCGCTTCTTGGCTTCGACGAAGTTCTTCGTCTTTTTGCGCCGCAGCTGCGAGAGCTTTGGCCCGATCGAGTTCCTGCTTGGCGGAAATTTTCATCAGCTCGTTGTGAACAGCGGTACCCTGAACAGACAGAGCCAGCACCACGTTGCTTTTCTGTTGCTCCAGCCTTTTGTAGAAGTCTTCAACCTTCGCAGCGTCGCTCTTGTGTAGCAGCAGCTTTTTGATTGTGCCAGTTTCTGAAAACCGCTGGATGTACTCGACAATCTCCCTCAGGATCACTTGGAGCTCGCCGAGGTTTGCGCGAATTGCAACACTCATCTCGATATTGGGATGGTTCCTGAACACCTCGACAGACGTCATCACCAGCTGGACCTGGCTGGCGAGGCCGTTGCATTCGGCCTTGTTTGCATTGACCTGCTTGTTGGCCGCGTACACCATCTGGGCAAACTGGAACACTGCCGAGAGCACCTCGCTGGCCATGGCTGACTAGAAGCTCTGAGAGGTACTGTGTTCGTGCTGGAAGCGACGCGCGCGGTGAAAAGTCAAAGCACACAGCGAAAGCAGCGCGGCAGGAAAGGAATCAAAAAAAAAAAAAAAAAAAAAACCAGAAAAGTACAAAATAAGTGGTCTGTGAACAACAACAACAACAACAATAACAGAAGTTTTGTTACGGATTGGTTTCTGGTTGGATACAAAAAGACTGAGCTCCAAAAAAGAAAAAAAAAGAAAGAAAAAAATAAAGAAAAGAAGTGAATGGATGATCGAGTCTCCGCCCAATGCTCACTCATCTCGTCATCAGGGTGTGGCACACACACACCTTGCCGGTCTGGTGGGAGTGGGGCTGGGAGTACGGGAGGGGGGGGGGGCAGCAGCTGAGCAACACACAATCACACAGCCAACGGCTGTCTCATTGCTCCTCCTGGCGCCACCCCCCCCTTCCCTTCCTCTGCACCTTCTCCCTCTTTCGTCACCGACTATGAGCATCCGACTATGAACATGAATGCCGAGCGCGTAGCTGGTCGGGGAAACAAAGAGTCGATGCCTTTTTAAGAGTCACGTCCCAAATTTGATGTTGACATCATGCGCATGCAAACGTCATCAAACTCGTTCTCGTGTTCTGACCATGAAAGGAAACCAGAAAAAAAACATTAACAAGGTATACCAACGCACAACAAATCCAATTGTGGTGATTTTTTTTATCGCTTGCGGCCCTTGCCCTTGGCGGCGGGACTGGACGCCGCAGCTTCGGTGACGATGACCTGTCCTTCCTGCAGCTCCTTGGAGTGGGGGCTTGCGGATACCTTTTGTTGAGTGTCCATGTAAAACATGAGGTCTCGGACTTGCTCCTGCAATCGTCCAACGAAAGAGCAACCATAGCAGAGCGATGAGCTCACGAGCATGATGCACCAACCAGCCAATTCCCCAAAAACAAACGCGCCACCACTTGCCCCAAGGTCTGCGATCTGCTCCTCCTTGCTCTTGAGTGCATCGGCAGTCTTGCGCTTGAGCGCTTCCAGCTCGTTTTGCCAAAACTTTTGGTTTTCTTGAAGCGACGTGGTGATCTGAGCCAGGGTGACCGAAAACCCCGACAAGAGCAAAGTGAGTCACAAGAGCAGACACGACCTTGTAATAGAAACAAAACACTGGTGGTGGCATCTCGTACCTCTTTCTCATTGTCAAAGTCGAGCTGAAGTCGGCTACTCTTCTCTCTGGCTTGGAGGGTCTTTTTCTCCTGGGTCGGTCACAAGTGGATTGTCAATAAAAAAGCAAACAACGAAAAAGCCACACAACCCCAAAAAGTTCCAACAACCAGCAACAACGACGATTGACATACCAAGGCCTTGCGCTCTCGTTCACTCGCAGCCAACTTGTGCTCCATCTCGCTCGTGCTGGACTGGAGTGCTTCCATCCGCACAATCAGCTGTCGTTCGCGCTCGATGGCATGCTGCTCGAGTTCTTGCATCTTCCCCTCAAAATACGCACGCTGCCGTTCAAGTTGCGCGGCCAGGAGGTACGTGTACTCGAGTTGCAAGGCGTCGACCTTTTCCTCGCTGGAACTGTACTCGTAGAACACGTGCTCATCCTCGTAGCCCGCGTGCGCACCATCATCCTGAGCCTGTGCCTCGGCATCGCCGCTGGTGCCGAAACCAAGCCGCCGCGCGCTTGCGGGTACTGGCATGTCGCCAAAGTGCATCACGTTGCCGCGCGCGCCGGGCTTCTTCTTGCCCAAATCGTCCGGATCGTCCGCAGCAGAGACGTGTCCACTCCTTCCCTTCTCAAAAGCAGCCGCGGAAGCAGAACGAACCTCAGACGAAGTGCGACCCGCGCCAGACCGTTCTGAGCGTGACGGCCTGCCGGGGCTGGAGAACTCGACCATTTTCCCGTCCGTGCGATTCTGAATCAAGCGGTGGACGTAATTGTCGCCAGCATAGTCCCACACGCGTTGGCTTTCAAGTTCCATCGCATACGTGTGCTGCGTCTCGCGAAAATGCTCGTACGCGTGACCATCGACATACCTCCCGCAGCCAATGTGTCCGCAAATGAGGCAAATCCAAAGGCTGCTGGTGCAGTCGCATTCAAAGCACTGGTTGCTGGAATCGGGTCGGATGCTGTGCCGACAGATGGGACACGAGCTGTCGCCCCACCGCGACAAGCAGGTGCAGTGAAAGTTGTGGTTGCAAATGGTCGTGAAAATGCCGCTCGCCGACTCGTCCAACCGCTCAAGACAGACCGGACAGGTGGGCAGCTCCACCAGGTTGTGGTGAGGGAGCTGATCAGACGGCCCGTCTTGTGGTTGTGGTTGTGGTTGGGCTGCCACGCCGGTTCCGGTTGGAGCAGCAGTAGCCGCCGCGCTTGTCGTGCTCTCCAAGGGACCTGGCGCGGATCCGCTTGTCGAGGAAAGTGTCTCGGACGGGCTGTGCTGAGTAATCGGGGCAGATGGCGACAAAGCCGATGCCATCTTGATGGCTCCTGCGGCATGCAAAGAGCTGCTGGTAGCGCCATTCGACGTTTCGCCAAGCATCGTCGAGTGGAAGGCGTCAGGCACAGCCCCGCTCGAGGCAGCAGTGGTGGCGATGGCAGCAGCAGTGGTGGTGGTGGTGGTGGTGGTGGTACGAACACGGTGCTCCATCTCAAACATGAGCGCTTCCATGTCGGTGCGATGGGTGGCCTTAATGTGACTCACAAAGGCGAGATGGCACACCTCCGGCTCGAGCGAATTGAACTTTCGATTGTTGAACGACAAATAAAACTCGTCGGCTGCGTTCTGCGTCTGAAACCGGAGGACGGCCAAATAGCGATTGGGCGCGGCGTCGCGGATAATCTTCATGGCCTCGACAGTGTGCTGCACTGAGCCAGTGAACTGAATGAGATCCGTGTATGGCTTGCTTGTTGGTACGGCAAGAATTACCACCACCTTGGAGCGATGCAGAGGCAGTCGCGGCGGGGGTAGCGCGGCAGCAGCAGTGCCGCCAATCGCGAAAGACGTGCTGAGACTTCCAAACACCAAGCTCGCGGTCGCCGAACCGGCACCCGCCGCCGCTCGCGCGGAAGCCTCTTCATCAAAGACATTGTAGCCATGGTTGTGGTCGGGCGGAGGTGGTGGCAGAGTTGCCGTTGTTCGCGGTGTCGGGGCCGCTCCTTTCTCGTTGTTGTGATTGCTCTTGGAGGCAGGTGCGACAGGCACCGCTGCTTCGTACTCTCCGTTGTGTCGCATGTCACAGAAAATGTGCAGGACACCCTTGGTGAGCTCGACGAGCGGGTTGCCAGAGTAGAATGGAATACTGCAAGTGTTTCCAGCATCGCGATCGAGCGCGTCCACAGCAGCAGCGCTCTCGGCCGGTGCTGTTCCGCCGCTACTAGCAGAGGTCAACTTGTCCTCGGCCTCAGAGTCCTTCTGTTGCCTCCTCTGGCTCTCGCTGCTGTTGAGCTGGTCTGAGCGATCGAGCGTTTCAATTTGCAGCGGCGTCGACTGGCGCAAGTCCCTGCACCGGCGCGGCTGGGCTTCTGCCAGTCCGTCCGTTGACTGTGTAGGCGCGGTGGGAGTCGTCCCAGCAGCAGATGGCGCGTCTGATGAGGCTGTGTGGTCTGTCAGAGTGTTCAGCGCAAAACGTCATCGATGAGCTGTGATGACAAAGACGCGACAAGGACCACCCACAACGCTCGACATGACATTGGAAGCCGAGGGGAACGTACGTGTTGCTTCTGCTGATGATGCATGAGGAGGGCCGGCATCATGCTCGAGGGACGCGGGCAACGGCGCATCCTCGTCGACTTGCATGATGAGCGTCAGCATTTGGTTTGGCAGACTAGAAGAGTCCAGCGACCAAGTGATGAATAAGAATAATTGATCTAATACTAAAGGATGAGCACAACAACAAAATGACGAATGATGTCGAGTAACGACTGACTGGGCATTGTGTTGTTCTTGGCTGCATGCTGTGTTGTGCAATGGCTTTGTTTGCCCCTCATCCTCATCATCGACTGCTGCTTCAACTATTCCACTATTTCATTTCGTTATTCAATTTCAACCCACCCCCCCCTTTTTTTCATTCATTTATTTGTTGCTCACAGAAGCCATCATCATCATGGGCAAGCGAGGTGGTCGCAAGAACTCTGACGATTGGTAATACAAAATGCAATGGCCGACTCCCCGCTCCTTCAACCCCCGCGCGGCTCGGCAGTAACTCCTGCTCTGACACCACAGCTGAGCGGTGTTGGGTGTGTGTGTGTGACGGGGCCCGTTCTTGCAGCAGGAGATGGCGTCCACTTTTTTTTTTTTTCTTGCTTTCGCACCACGTTCGTTCGCTCGCTGGCTGTGGCTCAACGGCATGGTCCAGCACGCGTATGGACAGTCGTGTTCTGGCTGCACGTTGCCACCGAGATTGCAAGCGCGAGTCGTGCAATGTGGGGTTGGCGACGGACGATTGAAGTGAAGCAAGTTGGAAAAAAAGAAAAAGGCCGCGTGTCTTCGTTTTCCAGCCAAAAGCCAATGGAAACCCAAAAAAAAAAAAAAAAAAAAAAAAAAAAAAAAAAGACGACAACGACGACAACGACGACGAGGAAGTGGATGCTTCAGCCACTCATGCGCCACCATCACAGGTGGACTCTTTGCCAAAAAAGAAATCAGTTGCGAGTTTTTTTTGTTGGACGCCGTTGTTGCGTTTGGCAGTGGCAGGACGGCAATACGGCCTCCTTCATTGTTCCTTCATACAACGCGCAAGACTCAGGCTTGGGCTCGGGCTTGGGTGCACACAAAAGCCTCCACCGGTTTGAAAGAGAAAAAAAACAGCAAACTGGCTCAATGTAGGAAGAATGGCGGAAGGTTGAGGTCGCAGCAATTGTGTGATGATGACATTGGCTGCAGATTGCAACACCATTGCACAGTAGTGCCTTTGGTTTTACCATCCAAATTCGTACTTCAAGGATCCAGTCTTTGTGTTTGCAAAACTTATTTGGATTATCGACATGGACATGCGAGACGCGGGAGTGAGCAAGCACGTCTCTTCACCATTCCATTCACTTGTCGTTGATTTCCATCGTCTCTCACTTTTGTATGCGCGCTTTTTTGTCATCCTGAAACAAACAGGGATGATGACATCCAGGAGGACTTGGTAGCCCTCAAAAAGTCTGCAAACAAGCCCAACAGCCAACATCGCGTCGAAGAGGAAGGCGAGGACGAGGACGGTGACTCTGGCATGCCCAAGGTCACCCCGCTGCCCATCCAGAAAAAGACGCCTGCGCAAAAGAAGAAGCAGCGCAACAGCAACTCAAAGAGCGAGGCGACCGAGGACAGCGATGAGGACGAGAGCGAGTCCTCGGACGGCGAAGATGCCGACGAAAAGTTTGTGCGCGAGGAGATTTACCGCGGCAAGCCCATCCAGTCCTCGGCTGTTGTGCCTCCCATGCCCAGCAAACAGGCTGCTGCTGCTGCTACGAAGGCCCCGGCGTATGACACAACTGGCGACGATCGCAGCCACAAGCGCATTCTCAACACCAAGGCGACTGCTGCTGCTGCTGCTCCTGCTGCTCCTGCAAAGGCTGCACCCAAGAAGCCTGCTGCGGCCGATTCCGACGACAGCGAGTCCACCTCTTCAGAGTCTGAGGACGAAGCTCCCGCAAAGAAGCCGGTTGCCGCCAAGGCTGTCAGCAAGGCTCCTGCTCCAGCTGCCAAGTCTGCCGCCAAGCCTGCTGCTGCTGCTGCCGCCAAGAAGGCAGAGTCTGATAGCAGCGATGAGTCTTCGGAAGACGAAAAGCCTGCGCCCAAGAAGGCTGCCGCTCCCGCTGCCAAGGCTGCCGCTCCCGCTGCCAAGCCCGCTGCACCGAAAAAGAAGGCCGCGTCCTCATCCGAAGAGGAGAGCAGCTCTGAAGAAGAGTCATCCGAGGACGAGAAGCCTGCACCCAAGAAGGCGCCCGCCAAGGCTGCTGCCCCTGCTGCGAAGGCTGCCGCTCCCGCCGCAAAGCCTGCTCCCAAGAAGAAGGCCGCCTCCTCGTCCGACGACAGCAGCGAAGAGTCGTCCGAAGATGAAAAGCCAGTCGCCAAGAAAGCGACTGCTGCTGCCGCCGCTGCACCTTCGCCCGCCAAAGCAGCAGCGGCCAAGGCACAGCCCAAAGCCAAGCCTGCCCAAGCCGCCGCCAAGAAGCCTGCCGCCAAGAAGCCTGCCGTCGCAGGGTCGGGCTTTGCCTTTTTGGCCGACGAAGATGACGACGGTGGCATGATGAAGGACGATGACGACGACAATGACAACGAGGACGACGAATCCAACGAGGATGGCTTTGTCGAGGTCAAACCAGTTGCATCAGAGCCCGCGGCCAAGCCTGCAGCAGCCTCCTCGAACAATAACAGCAACAAGAAAAAGAAGGGCAAGTCTGCTGCTGGGGATGACGAGGATGAGGAAGCCATGCTCGCCAAGGCCATCGAGGAAGCCAACGCCAACCGACCTGCACCGGCCGGCAAGGACAGCAAGAAGAAGAAGGGCAAGAAGGGCAAAGGAGCAGCAGACGACGAGGACGAGGACGCCCTGCTGGCTGCTGCCATTTCTGAAATCAAGCTGAACTCGCCCGCACCGGCAACCCCAGACGCCACCGCAGCCCCCAAGCCAGACCTGCCATCATCGTCAGCCGCACCCGCCGCCGATGACGACGATGAAGACGACGACGAAGCCACCGCTGGCATGTCGGCCGCTGACAAGAAGAAGGAGCGCGAGAAGAAGAAAAAGAAGAAGCAGAAGGAGAAGGCTGCCGCCGGCGGTGCTCCTGCCGAGCCTGCAGGCAAGAAGAGCAACGCAGCTGTTCGTCGCGTCCAAGAGGCTCTCGAGGCGCTCAAGATTGAAGAGGAGCGCATTCGAAAAGAAGAGGAAGAGCGCGCTCGCATCGAGGCAGAAGCCGAGCGCGTCCGACTAGAGGAGGAGGCTCGCGAGGAGGAGCGCAAGCGCATCAAGAAGGAAAAGGAGAAGGAAAAGAAGGAGCGCTTGCGTCGCGAGGGCAAGCTCTTGTCCAAGACTGAAAAGGAGCGTGTGGCTCGCCAGCAAGTCCTGCTCGAATCCATGAAGGCCCAGGGCCACGTTCAGCTACCCGTCGGCGATGACGCTGCTGCTGCTGCTGCTGCTGCTGCCACCTCTACCGCGGCCGATGCTGACGAAGCCGACGCCGCCGCTGCTGCTGCTGCTGCCCCTTCAGACAAGAAGCGCTCCAAGTTGGTTTCCACCAAAAAGAAGAAGCCTGCTGCGAGCGCCTCATCCACCTCTGCATCTGCCAATGCTTCGGAGCCCATGACCCCCGACACCCGCGACGAGGCAGAAGACGGAGAGCCTTTGGCCGAGGCTGCCGAGGAGCCTGCCGACAGCTGGGATCGCGACGACTGGGAGAGCGCCATCGACGAGAAGCTCGCCGCGGCCACCCCTGAGGCGTCCGCTGCTGCTGCTGCTGCTGCTGCTGCCACGTCCGCTGCTTCCACCTCCGCAGCCAGCGACACCGCCTCCACTTCTTCCGATGCAGTCGTGGCAGCGATCGACACCAAGTCCCGACAAGCCCGCATGGAAGCTGCGCGTGCTCGCATTGACGCGCGCCGTGCCGCCAACACTGAGCTCAAGTCGTCCGACAACCTTCGCTCGCCGATCTGCTGCGTTCTTGGCCACGTCGACACTGGCAAGACCAAGCTGTTGGACAAGATTCGCCACACCAACGTGCAATCCGGCGAAGCTGGTGGCATCACCCAGCAGATTGGTGCCTCCTACTTCCCAATGTCCACGATTGAGGACCAGACCAAGCGCCTGAAGGAGCTCAAGGACTCTGTCGTGACGGACATCAAGGTGCCCGGTCTGCTCATCATTGACACGCCCGGTCACGAGTCGTTCAGCAACCTGCGCTCGCGCGGCTCGTCCTTGTGCGACATTGCGATTCTTGTCGTTGATATCATGCACGGCTTGGAGCCGCAGACGATCGAATCCATCAACCTGCTCAAAAAGATGAAGACGCCGTTCGTCGTCGCGCTGAACAAGGTGGATCGCATTTACGACTGGCAAGCGACTCCCGACAACCCGTTCCAGGACTCGCTCAAGCGCCAAAAGCAGTCTGCCGCGAAGGAGTTTGCCGAGCGCTCGCAACAGGCGATTCTCGCCTTCGCCGAGCAAGGCCTGAACGCTGCGCTCTACTACAACAACCAGGACTACCGCAAGTACGTCTCGCTTGTGCCGACCTCTGCGCACACTGGCGAGGGCATTCCCGACCTGCTCATGCTGCTCGTCTCGCTGACCCAGCGTCTGATGAAGGAACGCCTGGCCTTCTCGCCCGAAGTCCAGTGCACGGTGCTCGAAGTCAAGGTCACCCCTGGTTTCGGCCATACGATCGATGTTATTCTTTCTAACGGCATCATCCGTGAGGGTGACACCATGGTCGCCTGCGGTACCGACGGGCCGATCGTCTCGCCCATCAAAGCGCTGCTCATGCCTCAACCGCTGCGCGAGCTGCGCGTCAAGTCGCAGTACACGAATGCCAAGGAGGTCAAGGCTGCGCAAGGCGTCAAGCTTTCAGCCAAGAATCTCGAGCACGTTGTTGCTGGCACCCAGCTGTACATTGCCTACGACGAAGACGAAGTCGAGGTGCTCAAGGAGGACGTCACTGCTGATCTCGCCCGCTCGCTCAATCAAATCAAGACGGTCGACCGTGGTGTGCTCGTCCAGGCGTCTACCCTCGGTGCTCTCGAGGCCCTCATGGAGTTCCTCCGCACCTCCAAGATTCCCGTTTCTGCCGTCTCCGTGGGTCCCGTGCATCGCAAGGACGTCATGCGTGCGAAGGTTCAGCTGGAGAAGGATCCCACGTATGTTGAATGGAAGGGTGGTGTTTTTGGTTTTGGTGGTGGTGTTGTTGTTGTTGTTGTCGTTGTTATGGCTCTGTGCTTTGGTGTTTTCAAGCCTTGTTCTCATTGGGTTGTCCTCTTTTCTCTCTCTCTCACTCTCTCTCTCTCTCTCTCTCTCTCTCTCTCTCTCTCTCTCTCTCTCTCTCTCCCTCTCTCTCTCCCTCCCTCCCTCTTGTCGCAGGTATGCCATCATCATGGCGTTCGATGTCAAGGTCGACAAGGAAGTTCGAGAGTTTGCCGACAAGGAAAGCATCAAGATTTTCACCGCCGATATCATCTATCACCTCTTTGACCAGTTCACCGCGTACATGGAGCAGCTCAAGCAGAAGGCCAAGGATGAAAACCGTCATCTCGCCGTCTTCCCTTCGCGTCTCCGCGTGCTGGCTGACAGCGTTTTCAACAAGCGCGACCCCATCGTTATTGGTGTGGATGTTTTGGACGGCGTCATCAAGGTCGGCACCCCGTTGGTCGTGCCGTCCAAGGAGAAGCTGTTCATTGGCACCATCACCGGCATCCAAATCGACCAAGACCATCCATTGCAAGAAGCCCGACGCGGTGCAACCGTCTGCATCAAGATTGACAACACCACTGGCGATGCACCCAAGATGTTTGGCCGTCACTTTGACGAGAAGGATGAGCTCGTGAGCCGCGTACGTAGTTTTTTTTCTTCTCTCCCCCCCCCTTTTTCTTGTTTGATTCTGAGAGGAAACAATTCTCATTCATCCTCTTCCCTCTGTGCAGATTTCTCGTGAGTCCATCGACTGCATGAAGCAGTATTTCCGCGATGAAATGACCAAAGACGACTGGGCTCTTGTCATCACTCTCAAGAAGATTCTTGATGTCTTTTAAGGTCGCTCACTGAGCAACTGTCAGACATCTCAGCCTTGTTCTGTTTTTGATTTGAATGACTGCTGTTTTGCGTTTCGGTCGTTCAGCAAAGTACAAACATGATATGACAACATTCTTGTCGTGCATGGTGTATTTATTTGTTTGATTTTTTTTTCGACTCGTACATGGCAAAAGAGGGGCAACGATTTGAGCGTTTTATTGAGCTTTCGGCTTGTCTGCTGGATTGGCGGAGGAGGTTGCAGCAGTATTCTTGTCCTCGCGCAGGGCGACAACGACAAACGCGGCCATCACGATTTGAACGACCACCACTGCCGCGATGGCACCGACAATATGTGGCATGCTTGCTTCCGCCTCTGTCGTGTAGTTATCAAGACATACCACCGAAGTGGGATGAGATTCATATTATTGAGCGAGCAGGTGAGATTTTTGGGGGAGACTTTTGGGGTTTCTCAGTACAACAGCGTGCGACATGCGCGGATTCTTACGTTCAGCAATAGCCGCAGCAAAGTAGTACATTCCAATTGGGGCGACGATCATGGCGAACGTGAAGATGAGCAGCGTCCTCAAGACTCCAGGCTCGACGCGACTGAATGCAAACACCCACAGGAACACAAGACGAAAACGACACGAGTCAGCGCGCTTTGTGTGAGTGTGCTGTGAGTGCAGCTAACAATGCACATCCACACCCCACGGACGGCAGACAACGACCAGATCTGCTGCTGCTGCATTCACTCGCTCCAGGGGAACAAACTGCACGAGGCTGAATGGCGCGCCGTGTCATCAACAAGGACCACTGTTTGGTCAAAGCGCATCAACAAGAGCGAACAGTCCCTTGCGTTCTCAAGAACGACGACAACTCACTGGAAGGCGTTCACGATGCCGGCTGTCACAGGCACAGGCGATGCAGCGGCAGACGTGCTTGGCTGAGTTGACATTGTGGGGACAAAGAAAGGAAAGGGAAGACTGAGTGTTCTGAGTGTTCTGGGCACTGTCTCAGCCAGTTCCTCAGAAATTCATATTACAGTGCTTGTCCATTGTCGTTGATGTTTTTGCCATCATCCAAGGTCAGTCGTTGATACAGGAATGAAGCGGATTGCCAACCGACCTCAACCGTTCGAGCAGATCGCGCTCGAGGCAGACACGCTGCCGCTGGGCGAGCTGTCGCCGCCGATGCTGGTGCCTGCGACTGCGTACATGGACTTTGAGTGCGGAACGTCGCCTTGGATGGTCATCCCAATCACAGACAACGCCGTCGCAGCCAACGAGAGCAAGACCGCTGTCGTCGACGGGTTGACTCGTGTTGCTACTGCACCTGCACCTGTAGCAGCAGCAGGAGGGTGTCCATCCAAGCGCCAAGAACCCTCCGTGGAGCCAATGGTCGTTGCTGACGCGAGCACGAGCGGGACTGACGCGGATGACGAAACCCCGCCGGGTCCACCTGGCGCATGGAAGAGCAGCACATGTTACCACGACTTTTACCATGTAACAGCTGCTTGCCGACTCTGATAAGCCTTGTCGGAGGCCATAACCAAGTGGTACGATTGTTGTTGTAGAAGGTCTTGTTATTCACGATGCTGGTGTGTTGTTGTTGTTGTTGTTGTGTGAGGCCAGGAGACAATCAGCCAGGAGGATTGGGCGGCATTCTGGGCGACTGTCAACCAGCCACTCCCGTCGTCATTCCGGATCAACGCATCCAATCCATCCATCGCTCAGACGACAAGCGCCACCTTGAGCCAACGCTGCCAGCAATTGCGCTCAATGCTGGAGCAGGAAAAGGCGGATTCAGCCAGAATGCTGCGTGACCTGCCACAGCCCATCTCGTGGTACCCGTTGCATCCAGAGGTGTCTGAAGAGCCGCTGGCATGGCGGCTAGCACTGTCGACACGAGGACTTGCGTCGTCTGTCCAGCACGAGCCTCTGCGCCATTTCCTGATGAACGCTGCCACCGACGGTGCCATCGTCAGGCAGGAGGAAGTCTCCATGATCCCGCCACTGCTGTTGCAGGTAGAATCGCACCACGCTGTGCTCGACATGTGTGCTGCTCCTGGAAGCAAGACGACAGAAGTGCTGGACCTGTTGCTTCAGCACCACCACCAGACCTCGGCCACGTCCCCCAATGTGCCCTCCATTCCGACTGGCTTCGTGCTTGCCAATGATGCCGACTGCGAGAGGTATGGTGCAGACATGGACGTTGTCAGGCTGACTTCTTTTTCCGAAACTGGTGTCTCCTTTACTTTACATTGGATTGTGTTGCTCACAACTCGAGTCGTTGTCCTCCCCCCCCCCCTTGCTTTTTTTTTTGCCACAGATGCTTTATTCTAACGCAACGCG